CCTCGAAAATGCCCACTTCGACATAGATCAGGCGGCTTCGGTGAGATGTTCGACAGTACGTCTCCAGTATCTCGGCGATGGTGTGGTACCTGCAGGTTCAAGGTTCAGGGTTTAGGGTCGGACTGGCTAGAACCCAACGATTGCGTCGGGTTCGGCTTAAAGTTATGCTTACCAATCAGGTTATATCGGGGTTAAGGTGCATATTTGATTGAAGGATGGAAGTGCTGGGCAGGCCGTACCAATTCGTACAAACTAACCAGTCTGGCATGACTTGGAGAAAAATCTGTGAGTTGTTGGGCTCGCTGGGCTAAGGCTGCAAGGGGTTTGTTTCTTGAGTCTCTGTGAGCCACACAACAAGAGCAGTCTCCCTGAACGATATGACGAAATACATCCCTAAAGCTTAAACTCCCTCAACTTCGAACTGTATCACAGCCCTGAAAACTCAAACCCGACATATTCCAGCAAACCCCAACCATCAAAATAGACTCGCAGACTACAGCGGGCTGAATGATTATTGAAAAATCATGATTAGTGCAAGAAGCGCCTCCATACTAAACCCGAAACCCTCAAAACCCGTACAGACCCCTCAAAAGGAGCCCTTAGTGGAACCCTTACGAGCACCCTATAGAATTGATGATGTTCCAAGATGGAAACACAGCCTCCCTGAACCCGAAACCCTAAACCTTTCAGAAAGCCCTATAGAACCGACGGATGTTCCTACATTATATTGCATAAATTTATAGTCTACTATACTATACTATACTATACTACACTATACTATACTATACTATACTATACTATACAATACTTATAGTATAGTATACTATACCATACCATACCATACCATACTATACTATACTATGCTGTTCTATATTATGCTGTATTGTAGTGTATTACTTTGCATGAATCATTACATTAACTATTGCCCAAACCCTAAAACCCCTAAACCCTAAACCCTAAACCCCTAAACCCTATACCCTAAACCGTTATAGGGGCTGCCTCTCCCCCGAAGAGGACCCGAAGCGGATCAGAGGACGGCCTTTCCAGGGCCACCTGCCTTGGCTGGCTTGGGCTCCGGGATACGAGTTTAGGGTTTAGGGTTTTCGGGGTTATTAGGATTTAGGCTTTAAGGATTTTGGGTTGAGGGTTTTGGGTTTAGAGTTTAGGGTTTAGGGTTTAGGGTTTGGGGTTTCTTAGGGTTTAGGGTTTAGGGTTGGGGTTGGGGGGTTAGGGGCTTCGGGGTGTTTTAGGATCTTACGGGCTTTTAGGGGGTTGAGGGGTTTGCGCGTTTGGGGTTTCAGGGTTTTGGGGTGTTGGGGCTTTAGGGCTTTAGGGTGCTTAAGGCTTTTAGGGCTTTGGGGTTAAGGCTTTGGGGTTTCAGGATTTAGGTGCCGGCTGTTTATCCGCATGGAAATCTTTCAGTGCAATCCGTCAAGCAGCCCCAGATTCCCGCGCAGTCCTTCATCAGCCCTTACATTATCAGTCTATCCCGCCCACCCGAAGCCTTATATAAACCCTGACATATCTGAAACCCCAAACTCCCGTAAGCCATCCTCTCTACAAGGCGAAAGCTTAAATTACCCTAAACCCTAAACCCCTAAACCCCTAAACCCCTAAACCCCTAAACCCCCAAACCCCTAAACTCCCAAAACCCCTAAACCCCCAAACCCCTAAACCCCTAAATCCCTAAACCCCCAAACCCCCAAACCCCTAAACCCCTAAATCCCTAAACCCCTAAATCCCTAAACCCAGAAACTCAGCAGAGGCATGTTGCCACTCTCTTGACCTTGAGAGACCGAAGTCCCAGAAATGAGGGCTTGCGGGGTCTCTCGGGCTTCTAGACTTAATACGGTTATGGGGTTCAGGGTTTAGGGGTTTAGGGGTTTAGGGGTTCAGGGTTCAGGGTTTAGGGTTGAGGGGTTTAGGGGTTTAGGGTTCAGGGGCTTGGGGCTTTTAACTCTGGCTGCCTGGATGCTGGCGGCGGCAACTTGCCAGAGATGAGTGTTGTGACGCTGCAAAGCCCCTGGAGGATTGTGGCAGCCCTTATGGCAACTCGCACAGTAATCTTCTAGTAACCCCCTTCTAGTAATTAACTTCAGAGCAACCCCTAAACCCAAAACCCCTAAGCCCTAAACCCTAAGCCCTACACCCTTCCTCGCAGCGCACGCAAGCGCTGTCTGGGATCTGCGGAGGCTGCGCTCGGCGTGCGACCGCTCCAGAGGCTCCAGAGATCTGCGTAAGCGTCCATCATCGAGAGGCTCAACAGGGGAGCACAGAGGCTGGAGTTGGAAAGGCCGGAGAGGGGAGGAGTTGGGGGAGGTGGGATGGAGCACTTGGCATCTTTGAGGCAGCCTTTGAGGCTTTGAAGCCAACTAAGAAGCAGACCGGAGCCCTGCTGCACGCAAGAGGCCATCGGCTGAGTGGGCCGAAGTCGCATGGAACTCGGATTTTTCTGGAGCCAGTTCACCAACGACACATCGTCGTTCAGCGCACGCCACGTAGGGATGGCGCTTTGCTCTAAAGGCTCCCAGGTATCGACCATCTCCAGGCCATAGGTCAAAGTCGCACTATCCCAGCAACACCTCCTACGGGTGTGAAGTGCTGTGAAGCAGTCGGCTGCACCACCCTTGCAGCACGTAGCTCTTGCGTTTGACGTGTCTTGGGGCCAGCAGGCTGCTGCCTCAAAGAGAAAGGGGCCGACGGCTTGGGCGACCAGATCGGGCATGCTAGCCTGCCCGTAGCCATAAGGCAGGTACGGAAGCATCACCTGAGCTCTCGTGAAGGAGCTTCTTGAAGGTGTTCTTACTAACCTCCACTTTCCGAGTAACTGCAAAAATTCATCTACGATACATCCCTAATTGGGCATCCTAAAATTAGGTTCCTGGACAAGAACCCAATCACTTCGACTCTGGCCATCCTTGCTTCAGCCTGCTCCACCCGAACGCCGAGGAGTCATGGCGGAGCCATGGGGGGCAGACAGAGTCCCTGAAAAGATCGGACTTCAGCTCGGGTTTCGGGCTTATGGCCTAGGGTGCAGGGCTTCGGGTTTAAGGTTTAGGGCCTATACGGCTTAGGGTTGAGGAACCTAAGGCTTAGGGTTCAAGGTTTAAGGCTAAGGGTTTAAAGGACCTCAGCCCAGTGCCCCAAGTCTGCAACCTAGTCCTGATAAACTCGCATCCAAGGCTGAATAACGGCTGCGGCTTCGAGCACTCCAAGTAAACATTAATATAGTGGCCTTAGAAATTAGAATAGGTTTTTGTTTTTCGTTTGGGGGGTGTCTTTTGCTTGACTATCGTAAGGAAACCCAAAATACTATTGGCAATTATTTAGGCCCCTGTATTACTATTACAGTAAGCACCCCGATGATGCGAACGGCTTGCAGGGAATAGGGTCCGGGGGACTCGGAAGGGTTGAGACTTGAGGATTTGAGGCTAGGTTTAGGGTTTAGGGATTAGGGCCTTTAGGGTTTAGGGATTAGGGTATTTAAGGTTTAACAGCTGCCAGTATTCGGCTGGAGACAGCGCCCTTGGTCTCTGCGCCTGGAGGCATTTAAAAGAGGGTTTTGAGCCAGGAAACACGGATCGAGAAGAGCAGGACCGTGCACCCCTTGAGGCCTTCACTCGTCCCTGTGGCTTCAGGCTCCGGGGCTGTGGCTAAGTCTCCTCGAGTAGCGAGGGACAGGCTCTAATGGAAAAATGCCAAACCAATTCCTCAACTCGAAACACTCTCAACCCCAAACCTCCCCCTCCAAAAGAGAAAGAGAGAGAGAGAGAGAGAGAGATTGCAAAAATTACGAAAAAATGGTACGTCTCAATTAAACAAACACTGAATGCTCAAACTATCCCCAAAGCCTCAAAAAACTTCATACTAACCCCCTTCATGAAAATCTACAGGCAACAACAAAACTTCAGAACCCCAAAACAAGATCGAGACAAACCAAAGCAGGTCGGGCAACAACAAGAAAACCCGTAACCCGAAACCCCCACAAAACCCTTTATAATACTCTTATAGCACCCTTATATTACCCATATACCCATACCTTGTACTGACAGTGACAGTAACCTATATAGGAAAAACCATGCTAGCCCTGATCATTGCCCTTATAGCAACCCCCTAGAACACCCTTCACCTTTACACTACCCCCCCCCCATACTAGCCGTTTAGAGTAAACCCCCATACGAGCCCTTTGGAGTAACCTTTTCTATCTCCTCATGGAGGCGCCTACCCTAAACCCTGAAACCTAAACCCAAGGAGGTGGCCTGCGATTTGCCTCCGCCAACTCCTCTCGGAGCGATTCCGAGGCCATGGCGGAAGCATCCAGGCCTGGGTTCGCAGGACCCGTCTGGGGCTTAAGGATTTAGAGCTTAAGGCGTAAAGGTTTACGGTTTAGGGTTTAAGGGTTTAGGGTTCTTGGTTTAAGGGTTCCGGGTTGGGGGGTTAGGGTTTAAGGCTTCTTTTGGATGCTCTTCTAGAGGCATATATGGTTTGGGGCTTTCTTAGTGCTCTTCTAGCAGGCTTTGGGGGTTTTATTTGGGGTTCAGGGCTTGGGGCCTACGGATTCCCAGACTTTAGGGGTCATGCCTTTATGGCGCTTCGTTCCTGGATGCTCGTCTAGGGAATAGCCCTGTATGCTCTTGCTGTTTCCTTGTATGGGACGCTTGAAAAAGAACTAAGTTTGGCTACAGGGATGAGATGAGACGGTTTAGGGTTTAGGGTTTATAAGGTTTAGGGTTCAGGGTTTAGGGGTTTAGGGGTTTAGGGCTCAGGGTTTAGAGTTTAGGGGTGTAGGGCTTATTGTGGCATAGGCGTTCGGCTTTGCTCCCGATGGCTGCAAAGCTTTTCAGCGCAGGGCTTCGTCCTGTTGGCGGTGTTTGGGGTTGGCACAACAAGCTATCGGTTTGCTAAGGTTTGTGTTGCTACCACCGAGCTAGTAGCTTGTGGACTTGAACGTGCTTCGTAAGATAATGTAGGGCCCATAGGGTTTAGGCCCCTAGAATAGACTTATTATAAGGAACCCTATGGAATAGTATTGGCAACTACTTACAGGCTTTTCTATGGCCAAGACGGCTCCGCATGATTTCAGCAGGGCTCATCTGGCTTTCGGAGCTTTTCGGCCCCGGGTCAGGTAAGCCCAAACCCTCCATGAACCCAAAACCCGGAACCCCAGAACCCTAAACCCCAAAACCGCAAACCCCAAAGCCTCAACCCAAAACTTGGTAGGCCTGAACCTGCAACTTAAAGGTTACGGATTTAGGCCCCAACCGCCCCCCTCTTTTCACGCCTTCAACCCCAAAACCTTGGAGCCTTAGAGGTCGAACGAGTCTAACTTTCCCCGACTGGGAGGACTCTTCTTGACCGCCTACGGGGCTGTGGACAAGCCTTGTAACTCTTGCGAGATATTTTTTTGAAAAACCATTAAATACAATGCACAACGACCTACGACAACCGCATCAAGCTCATCTGAAACCCATGGAAACAGCTGTAGGAAGCCATTAGCAGACCTTGCCAAACCTCCAAAACCTCCCTTGAAGCCCCCACTTTGCCAGGAGGCCCCAAAGAGTCCGGGCTGCAAAGGCCGTGAAGTAAGGATGCTCCTGGGAGCTTGAGGATCCGGGCCTTCCAAGGGTTAAGGGCTCAGGAGTAGGGCTTACGGTTTCGACGTTTAGGGGTTTAGGAATTTGGGGTTTGGGGGTTTAGGGGTTTAGGGGGTTTAGGGGTTTAGGGATTTAAGGCTCATGGCTTTGGGCTTTTGCGGGTTCGGGGTTTCAGGCCTTGGGCGTTTAGGCTCTCGGGCCTCTCGGGTCTCGCAAGCCTGCGAGGCTGGAATGCGGCCGTAAGGCCCGAATTGCTACACGTGAAGAGACTTAGATCAAAGAAAGCCCCGAGCCTCAAAAACCCTAAACCCTAAACCCTCAACCCTAAACCCTAGACTCCCGAAAGACCGAAAAAAAAAACCTGAATCCTACAGACCAAAAGGCCCAACCCTGAAGTCCGCAGCCTTGAAATTCCACTCCTGGAGCGTCAACGCAAAATCAGTCAAAACCCAGCATTCATCTCGCTATCTTATAGAGGGGCCTTTAATAAAAAAGAAAAAGCAGGAATAGAGTTCTGGTGCAAGTTGTAACCATACTACCGCAAGCATGAAGATGAACTCGGCATTCGGAGGTGCTTTGTGATTGAAAACGGAGTCTGCTGCATCGACCAGAATCCGGAACCTTCAGCCATCCTTTCTTGAGAGCCCCCTGAAAACCCACAAAGGCACCATGGGCAACATAAAGTTTGAATACACCTGGGTTTTCGGAGCCCCGGCCCAGGCCCAATTATTCCGAATATTGACTGGCCATGAACCCGCACTGACCCCACGCTCTTGCCAAGGCACAGCAATGGCCACGGCCGCCTTCGCATGACCCCGCTCGACGGCACAGTGCAGCGCTGTGCGACCCCACCTCCAGGCAGCTCTGCTTTAGAGGGGCGGTCAGGCTTGAGGCTGCAGGGCTTTGCGAGTTTAGGGTTTAGGTTTTAGGGGTTTAGGGTTTAGGGCTTCAGGGTTGAGGTTTCGGCGTTTCGGATTCAAACTTGCATTTCGGCATTCCGTGGGTGTTCAGTTTTTCAAACTTGTGCGCAAGCAGGTTTGGGGGTTGCTTGCGGTCTGGGCAGAACCCGGGGACCTGAACGGTTGGAATAGGCTTAGCATAACGGAATCCTATTGCTAATGGTGCGGACCCCTAATTCAGGTAGTGAGGCCGGCCACCCTCGTTTCAGGATGAAGGAATCCGGATGGGTGCGAATTGGTGCAAGGTCCTTGGGCACGCTTTTCAAGCTTGCTCTTCCCCAGTCCCCGACCAGCGGTGAATAAAACCCCGGTGCTCATAGGAATCCTATAGATGCCTTTTCTTATCATGCCCTTGTAAACACCCTCCTAAAAAAACACCAAGCCGCTTTATCGGCTTATGAAGATCTTTAGAACATAAAAAAAGATGTAGAAACACGCATGGAAGCTCTAGCAAAACCCCTTCTTATGAAGAACCCTCACAAAACCACCTTCTTTTAAAGCCCCCTCTAGGGTGTCGGGTTTGGGGTATCCGGGATCCCCACTTGAAGGGTAAAGGACTTTTTAACAGCGGAGTTTCATGATACATACGCCCAATCAAAGTACTCCCTAAACCCTAAACCCTAACTCTATATCATGACGGGCAATTTTCGATGAAGCACTTAAGCTTCCTTGCTCCCTTCACCCTAAGCCCTAAACCCTAAACGTTTCATCCTTCAAGCACCAGCCTGTCTCTGCGATCCACCTCCTCCTCGAAGCTTTGCGTGGAGAGGAGGACCTTCACCGCCTTCTCTCGGGAGCAGCGTGTTCATATGGGGGGCTTCCGAAAATAGGGGACCCTAATAGAGTACCCTAAGTAGTAGGATCCTTATTATAAGGACCCCAAAATAAGGTACCCTAATTTTCGGAAAGTCCCATATGGCTTTCCGTGGCTGGTCAGGGAGCTTCATGAGGTACTTTGATGAAGTTTTATGGCTGCTTTTTAGGGCTTCATGGGTTGCTTTGAGATTTTACAAAGCTTCGAGCTCAAGGCTGCACTGAACTGTAGGGTAGGGGGTTCAGGCTTCAAGACTTCGGCTTGAGAATTTTCGGGTTTAGGGGTTCAGGGATGCACTTGAGCTTCGGGGCTTGGGGCCCGCGGTTCAAGCCCGAATGCCTCGCCATTCCCTCACTTAGCTTTGTCGCAGTTTCGGCCTGGCTGCGGAAAGAGGGCATTCATGGTTGGCGGGCTTCCTCCCCTGGTTTTATCAGGGTTCGGGGTTTAGCGATTTGGGTTTGAGGATTGGGATTTAAGATCGCTGGAGCTGACAACCTCGTAACGCTTGTGCCTTACAACTTCAGGCACATGCGAACCTGCTGCAAAACACCACCCCAGCCACGGCAACCCTGAAACCCAAAACCTATCAGCAGCTTAGGCTGTGATATATTCCATGTTCTAACACCCGACATCGAAAGCCCGAAGATACCATGCCAGAATCCCAAACCTCAACACAAGCCCAAACCCCGAAACCCTCGACATCTTGACACCCCGAACTCGCTGCGTGCTGAACCTTAACAGAACTATGAGTTGCAGAGACTCATCCCTTTTGATGGGCAGATGTGAGGCCTCTCGAGGGCGTTTAGGGTTTGGCGGTGTCGGGCTTAAGTTACGACTAGACCCTGAACCTCAAAGAGTCTCGCAAATCCTGGACCCTGCGTCCTCCGCTCTGAACCCTACAACCCTGAACCCCGAACCCTGAACTACCGGTATTTTAAAATGGTCCTCTGTCTCACCGTGAAGTGCCGCGACATGCAGTGCTGTCTGCCCATTCCGGCCCAGGCAGCCTACGGACAGCAATTAGGATTTCAAACTTAACGCTCAGTTTGACCGTAAGAAGAATTTCTCAAAGCAAATCAATGAATGTATGAACGTGCATGTGTGTATGTATGTATGTGTGTATATATATATATATATAACTACTTGCTTGCTTTTATGAACGGTTTGTCTGTGGTCCATGTGTGTATGTGTGTTTGTGTTTCTTTGTCTGCTTGTCTTTATGCTCATACTTCTACGTGTACTTATGCTTTCGGTTTTTATTTTGTACGCGTATTAACATCCATACTTGCCATTTCGTAACTCACATCAATTTTTTGAATTTTCCAGATTCTGTCATATTTTGATATTATGCGAAACTGGATCCTAATTTGATACTATGTGAGTCATTAAAGGTCTGTACTGCTACTACCCTTCACTACGATAAATGTTTCTGATTGTTGCTGCAGCTTTTCGCATTCTTTATTGTTAGTACTACTAACAAAACTATTCATTCTCACTGACATTATTCTTGCTGTGGTTGCTACTGTTGCTTTCAGGAAATAGCTGCTAGAATTCTTGTAGTCTGCACAAGCCTGATTAAATGCTGCTAGTGTTCTGACTACTGTTGCTGTTGTTATTACTTCCTTGATTTGTGCTATTTTTGCCTGTACGATTATGAGTATGAATACTGCTTGGCTTCTACTGCTGTTCTTGCTAATGCTTTTGCCAGTGTCGATTCCGGTTGTGCACAGCATGTGCTCAGTTATTCTAAACTCATGGTTTCGATTCAAACACATGGGTAGTTCTCTATATTTGGGTCCCTTTATAGGTCCCCAAATTAGTACAGCACCCTTACAGACAGGACTCCAAAAGGGACCCTAATTTAGAGAACTACCCACATGGGGCCAGCACGAATGCAAACAGATCATGTGTTTTACAGTTTTCATACATGTCCCAACCATTCCCAACCACACATCATACCATAGCAGTCGAAAACAGAAATGACAATAGCAGCTGTAAGGGCAGTAGTAATAGTAGTAGTAGTAGTAGTAGTAGTAACTGTAATCATAGTACTAGTAGTACTCGCATCGCCTTGAGAAGCGCAGCGAAGATTATGAGCACCATTACTGCCAAAGAAACAAACAAGGACGTGTGATAGTTTCAAACTGCCCAATATAACCGTGGGCCTACAACCATAACCACCTCGAATCCCAAAGCACACTCCCAAAAGCTCTGCACTCTGAACACAAACCGTAAACTTTACATCCTAACCTAACCCCAGCCGCAAGCCCCGAAGCCCCAGGAACCCCGGCCCCAAAGCCCTGAACAGAAGAAGAGCAACGAAAAAGAACAAAACGACCCCTACAAAGCCAAACACCTCAACCCTAAACCCCTAACCCTCAAACCCCGAAGCCCTGAAATCAAGAAAAAAAGCTAGGGTTCGCACCTGGAAGTGCCAATAGATCCTCGCATTGGAGGAGCTCTTTGAGGCATTCTGCCTCGCAAAGGAGAGCTGGGGGGGCGAGGGGGGGGGGAGGGACTCTCCTAGGGTTTTGGGTTGGGTTGTTTGGGGTTTCGGGTGGTTTCAGATGAGGGTTTAGGGTTTAGGGTTTAGGGTTCAGGGGTGTGTGTGTGTGTGTGTGTGCTTTTTTTTT